GTTTCTTTTGTTTATAAGCGACCCAGCCTATGGTACTTTGTTAGAGCAATCCGGTCTAAGACAGCACCCAAAAAAGAAAACTTTGTGTTTGTTCATCCTTGTTAACAGAAGGTCCATGTCAAAAAAGGTTCTGTGAAAGACTAAATGCTAGGATTGCCAAGTTAAGCAGATTTCTTTATTACAGGACTTCTTGGAGCCTTTAACAAGTTCGTGGTGCATTTTAAATTTCCAAGAGAGGAAAGGAAGAGGAAGAATTTTCAAACATACTTGATCACAGAAGGTCGTCTGCATTTCACGCTGCCATCCATGACGAGCGCTTTGACCCATCAAGGAACCAGTCCCTGACCATGCCCTTTCTTTCTTTTAAACAGCCCAAGAGGATGAATCATGATCCAGTCAGTGGTGATCCTGGCAATCTTGAATCTTTGCTATGTACTCACTTTCCTGGTGTCCCTTCCAGCTAAGGGTGACCAAGACTGTGTTACCCAGGGCCTGCCAGTGGGCCACAGGGAAAGACAGCTTGGAGGAGCTGGGTCTTTTTCTTCTTAGATAAAAGGATTTAGGGACTTTTCTAGCTGCTCTCTTTCTTACTGCTTGCAATCCCTTGCAGGATGATGCCAGTGGAACTTTGACTCCATAGTGGCTTCAAAACACAAACACTAATTTTTTAATGGTCCTCCCAACAAGAGATGGGATCTACACACTGCTCTCTTAAATCTGGCCAGCTTGTGACTGCTTTGACAATGCAGCACAGAAGTGATGTGCTGTATGACCTCAACAGCTGAGATGCTTGCCTTGCAGCACTGAACCTCCACAGAACATATCCAGTGGCCTGGAGTGAGCCGCCCTGTAAGAAACCCAAGCACAGAAGAGGCCACGTACAGGTGCTCTGGTTGACAATCTCTGCTGGGCTTTTCCTTCCAGTGACTCCCATCCAGGCATCAGACATCAGAATAAAGACATCTCTGCAAGCTTCTAGCTTCCCTGTGTTCTGGTCTTCCCAATAAAAGCCCCAGAAACTGTGGAGCAGAACATAACCCAGCCCCCACTGTGCCCTGTCCAGGTTCCTATCCTACAGACTCTGTCAGCATCACAAAATGGTTGTTTTGTATCTCTAAATGTGGGGGACATTTGTTATATAGCAAAAGATAATCAGAGCAGACACTAACTTGCAATTGTAAGGGAAAAGCCAAGAGGATCACAACGATGGTGATCTAGAACCCCCACACCTTTAAACTGCTGTGTCATTCCTGATTCCAGCTACACAATTACATATCTTCATTGCTTAAGCCATAGCTAATCAAAAGCATCCCTAAATGATACACTATGCTGCTGTTCGAGGTCACAGATTCAAGTCAAGGCTCTTGTCCTTTGTCCCATGGGTTCTGTCAACCAACTTGCTTGTCCTTCCATTTCTGGTCTCTCCCACCCTCCACAAACTACAATCAGAATGATTTTCCTAAATACACTCTAGCCCCATCATGTCCTTGCTTAAAACCTTCGAAGGCTCCCGATCACTTTGCAGTGGTTCATAACCTGCAGTAGAGAACAGAATTATCTGAAAGAATTTTCTCTGAATCCAGAAGTCTGAGCCATTCCATCCCCTGTAAATCAGCTACGCATATGTTCAAGAAGCTCCCCAGGCAATTCTGATGGCTAGACTATCTCAGAGCCACAGAAACCTTCTCTCAATTCCTCTTTCTCCCTCCAGGCAGAGCTTGTTGCCATTTCTATTATCACATGATAACTTTTTAAAAATTTCTATCACCCTTGCCAGGTGAGGAGACACTAGAGGGCAGGGATCCTGTCACACAGAATATTGTATTCCCAGCACCAAACACACTGTCTGCATGATAGTAAAGACTCATATGTTTTGATGAATAAATAAATGAACATAGGACAAGAAAACCCTAATGTTTCTGCTTCTGAAGGCAGGTCCATTTCCTCTGAAATTTTGTTCCGCCAACTGAGCAGACAGACCAAGGAAAATACAGACAACTGCAAATTAGACAAAAATATGGAGTTTGTCATTTACCAGGTTCTGGCTTATCAGTTTAAGTAGCCTGAAAACCCAAGAGCCAATCCTTTGAATGTAACAGTGTGAATCACGTTCCAAAAATACCTTGGCCCTGTGACTTCATCTGCACCTTGCAAATGCCTCTGTGACCAAGCTGTGATTCATGCTATCGGCTCTCAGCAAATACCCAAGAGAGACCTCCTGGAACAAGTCCAAAAAGTAAGTTTGCTCATAAGAGTGCTTTCCAAAGAAATCTACTTAACTGTAACCTGGCAGGGTGTACTGAGCATGGTCCATATTATCTGAAATGAATTTTACCCCAAATCCCTATGATCTGAAATGAAATTTTCTCCCAATTTCAAGGATATTTCCAGACCACATGCTATAAAATGAACATTGTAGTCTGTACTTATTCACAAGTACATTGGGGGATGGAATGTGATGAAAACTAAAATTTGCTAAATATATATTTACTAGATGATAGGCACTGTGCTAGCTATATACTCTTTCTCATTTTATTTTAAACAGCAGGTAATATTCTTGTTTTCAAGGAAACTGGGGTTTAGAAGAGTTAACTTTTCCAAAATCGTCACCACCGGTAGTGGGGAGAGCTGAGATTCAGACCAGAATCTGTGGAGCCCAATCCTCGCAATCTGTTCCCATGTGCTCCTGCCCCACTCCCCTGGAGCCCATCCTCTATCAGATTCAAGAATGGAGGAAAGTGACACTGCTTAACCCCAAGCTAAGCACTTTTGGAGTGTTGCCTCCTTTAATCTCTGACAAATCTGAGAGGCGATTATTTTTCTCCCATTTCACAGATAAACCCACTGAGACTTGGAAAGATTAAGGAAAGTGACCGAGATCACACAAGTCATAGCAGATAAGGGATTTAATTTCAAAGACCATGCTCTGCCCACCTTCCCACGTTGCCCCCTTCTCTATTCCAAATATAATAGGGCTTTGTGGGTCTTTTTCCTAATGATAGCAAAGCATCAAACAGAGAGAAAGCAGAATAAACCAAACATCCCTGGAGGTCTTGTGACGTCTTCAAAGGGCCTCTCCAAAAATGCTATCATCCATCCAGTCCTTTTCTGTCAAGATAATGCTTTCCAGACGTGTAATCTTATTGTGATCTTCATGACAGCCTTGCAAGGTTAGGTACTTACATTCCCAATTTCCAGAACAGGACATTAAAGCTCAGACAGGTTAAGTAACCTGACCAAAGTCACACTGCTATGAAATGCTTGAGTGTGGGCTCAGTGCCTGTGGCTCAAGCGGCTAAGGCGCCAGCCACATACACCTAAGGTGGCGGGTTCGAATCCAGCCCGGACCCGCCAAACAACAATGACGGCTGCAACCAAAAAATAGCCGGGCGTTGTGGCGGGTGCCTGTGGTCCCAGCTACTTGGGAGGCTGAGGCAGGAGACTCGCTTGAGCCCAGGAGTTGGAGGTTGCTGTGAGCAGTGAAGCCATAGCACTCTACCCAGGGGGACAGCTTGAGGCTCTGTCTCAAAAAGAAAAAAAAAAAAGAAATGCTTGAGTGTGGACTCAAACCACGTTTGAAGGATAGAGCCCACTACCCTCATACTGGTTCAGGAGCACAGGGAGAACACAGTAATCAAAGAAGATTCTTATCGTAGGTCAAACATTCTTCATATCTGATTCTCCAAGGCAAGAATGTAGGGATAAGCCATGGTGACATGAAACATCCCAAACCCCTCCCCATATCCCCCACAAAACTGAAGGACCTTTTCCTTCCACAATCCACAACTGAAATAACACTGGACTCACAAAACCCAAATGTTGTTTGATCTCACTATGACTCCTCCGCCAGAAGGGCAGTCCCACCCACAAGGAGGGTGGGACCTGCAGAGAGTTTACAGCTAACTTCCCCATCAGGCCAGCACATGCTCACATTCACTCTTAAACCCATTCATTACTCTAACAGGTAAATGGGCATGACCTGTCAAACCCCACTCCACTCCATTAAAAGAACTAGATGGAGGTTTCTGCTTATTCTTCCAAGTCCATAATCGAGAGGATGAGAAGGGCCTACATTCTCCCCCACAAAAAGAATATCATGCCTCTTGCTCTCTTTCCAGGTAAATAAAAAACCCAAATAAAGATGCCAGAGCCGGTAGCAGAAACCTCAACAACAATGAGCTTTTTGTTTTTTTAGGTATCATACACTGAGCACATACACAGCAGATGCTACACTGTATGCTTTACAAACGTTATACCACGTGAGCCTTACAATAACCCTACAGAGAAATATATTATAAACCCCAAGTTGCAGAAAAAGAAAGCAAGGCTCAGCATGCTACCTTCATGAAGTCAATAGCTGGTTAGAAGCAGGGCTGAGTTATGAGCCTAAGTTTAGCTGGTTGCATGGCCTGTGTTTCTGCCCATGACACTCCTCCACAACCTTCCCACCACTCGCTAACTACCTTAGCGCCATCCCAACCAGGACTTTTAGGATCAGAGTATGTGCCTCTGTAGACATAAGCTGGTAGTTTCTTGGTTTCTCAGTTATCCTTGAATTAAGTCAGAAGGTTTATAAATTTTTTGGAAGCAACAAATTTAATCTATTTGAATCACTTGGCCGAAAGATGCATTTTTATTTTTACATTTATGGCTATGACCCTGTGGTTGATTCTGTATTTAAATGATAAACTTTAGGCAGGGAAGGATATAATTAAAATACTGCCATGTAGCGTTAAGACTTTAAAAACACCTCTTCAATTATTACTATATCTAATTGACCTTCTGCTGAGTTTCTTAATAAAATTGTAAAAGTCAGAGCCTTCCAAGTAAGTATTGAAAAGAGAATCCCCTTGTAACTTCTTGTCCAGCCATCTGGCCCCAGTAAAAGATTGTGTGTGGCCTTTCTCTGTTACCTTGAAAGATCTGAGGTTTTTTATTCTTACTAAGGAAGCTGTGTTTCCTTAGATACATTCAGAAAAAAATACATGACAGCCGCCTACCTCAGAGAAGAACTCGTCCATAAAAGCCGTGTTGTCGATGGCAATCTCGACCTCATCGGTGTCATCATCCTGTGTGAGCTGTTTCTGTAAGAAAACAAAAGGAGTCAAGTGTGAATAAAAACAGTTAGTAGCAAGTACCACTGAATGGTCACTAAGTACCAGGAGCTATATTAAGTATTTTATAAGTAACTTCCTTTAAAACTCATGACAGCACTATAACACATCAAACTTTGGTGCTGCAAAGTCTGAAATTAAATACTAGTTCTACCACTTAGTGACATTTTGCTAAAGGGAAGGGAAGAGGAAGGCGGGAACAAGCAAGTTACTAATCTTGCTGTGCCTAGGTCTCCTTATCTGTTAAATGCTGATAATAACACTACCTATTGCATAGGGATGTTTAAGGAATAAACGAGATAATGAATATATAACGCTTTTACACAGCGCCTGGTACACTGTGAGCACTCAATAAATGCTAGGTTTTGTTGCTGTTTGTGGTGGTGGTGATGGTGGTAGTGGTGACATATTACTATACTTACTCTAGTTGAGGAACCTAAAACTTCAGGAGGTTAATTAACATGGTGAAAGTCACACAGCTAAAACATGGAGATAGGCAGACTCTAACCCAGCTTTTGGATTTGAACCCCACACTCCTGATCCCTTGTCCACACTGTTAAAGCAGGTTCTAAACACAATTCCTCTGAAACACAAGCTTCAAATCCTCACAGTAGGATCTTCCTGTTTTCAGAAACTACCTGTTACAAAGGAAACTGTCCTGTGTCACTCCCTGGCTGACAGTTACTATTTATAAGGAAGAGGAAGGTCTGCCCCACCCCGAAGCACACTCTGGTGGGACGCAGGCTTTCTCCAGCTCATCCAACTTCCTCTATGAAATCACAATGTGGCTATCTACAGGAAGCGATTCCATTCTCACCCAGCATCAAAGGCCAGAGCAATTTCGACATTCTTCCTGAATGTGCTCCCCTGACTGCAGCTGCACTGCTCACTGCCGATTTCTAAGCACAGAGAGAGCACTGGTTGTGGAGGATGGAGGTGGGACAGCAGATAAACTCTCTATACCTGCCTTTTCACAGCCTTCAGTGCCTCCAGCCATCTAAGCTACAGGTAAGTCACTCTGGAGCACTGGAAACCCCACAAGCAAAGAAAGCCACATGAGGCCTCTCTCCTCACCCACTACCACCACCACCTGAATCTGCAGTAAGAGGAGTCACTGGGAATACCCACAAATATTGGGGTTCTCCAACTACCTGGGAAGCCCCCTGACTGGCTCTCCTAACATTCTCTGGCTGGTCTGGAACAGTCAGCATCCCCAGCATAAGAGCCACATTCAACGGAGGTGAATTTGAGGGCACTGCTACCACCTCCCTGATTATTTTCCCCAAACTTGTGAGTCTACAACCTGAAGTTATCCAATGACAGCTCACTTCCTAGAATTTAAAGTCCCGCTGCCTAACAGAACACACAAGGACCCTTAAAATCCAACCCTACTCGCACATCTTCCTCTGTGATACATCGTCTAGACCAAGCAAGCATTTGGAACTCCTGGCATTTCCTCCACGCCATTCCTTCCTATCACTGTACTGTCACACAGGGCTCCTTCTGAAATGCGTTCATCCAACTGGCAAAATTTTACCAAACTTTAGAACTCGGCTCAGACAACCTGCATCACTCACTTGACAGTGCCCCGCCCCAAGCAAAAGTTAAAACTCCCTAAGCTCCCTTTGCGCTTTGTACAAACCTTCCCCACAGCCACCACAGCCTACTATTACTTATCCAGTTGCTTAACTATCTTTCCCCATAGACCATAAAGTCCTGGAGACTCAGGATGTAGATACTGTGTGTGTACAGGTATGTGTGCATGTGTCACTCGTGCCCTAAACACCTGCCTTTGCAGGCATACCCTTCACCCTCCCCACGTGATTCTGGGGAGGCTATAAGTCATGATCCAAGCTCCACGAGCAGTCTGAATTGTGAAGGGAGTCTGGAGGGAACGGGGCCAGGTCAACCAATGGCAGGACCCAGCAGAGATGGCCATCAAACTCCCAGAGCTATCCTTGCGCCCATCCTTCCCAAGCCACCCGTGGCTTTGATCATGTTCTAACACATCTTCCTCGGTCTTCCTTCAGTGAGTTGAACAGTAGCCTTCCAGTGCATTTCTTTTAATCATTTAGCCAGACTAAGCTTTTGTCACTTGTGATTAAAACTGAGTACTGTACTAGTCATTAATTAATTTATTCCACATGTCTACTGAGCACTTACCACACACCAGGCAAATAACAGAAATGTAATCAACTTCAGCTGAATAAATAACTAGTGTTCACAGAGCCCAGCAGCCTAGATTCACCCATCAGCTTCTAAAGTCTGAGATAAAATGTTCCCTTCACCAAGTATCATAAACACTCGGGCCCCTCCGCGTTCTCCACAAAGTTCTAGCTCCAAGAAGATCCCTGTAATCCTCACTAGAAAACAGGAACCCACTTCCTCTTGGAAGGCCAGTTAATGAGCTTTTGTTCGGAGTGTCCTTACTTCTGAGATCATCTGGAGACCCACACTGAAGGGAGACTCCAAGTGTGTGTGACACAAAGCCACACGTGCACACACCCACACCCGCCCTCCCACATACATACACATATATACTCACACACACACATACACCCCCACACACATACACCTCACACGCACCCACATACACACACACACCTACACTCACCCACATACACACAAACACACATATACAGCCACACACACCCCCACACACCCATATACACACATATACCCACCCACATACACACACACATACACCCACACCCTCCTACATACACACATACACACACACACTCACCCACATACACACAAACACATACATACACCCCCACACACACCCACTCACATGCACACATATACCAACCCACATACACACACATACACCCACACCCTCCTACATACATACACACATACATACACCCACTCACACACCCACACACAAACACATATACCCACACATATATATACATATACCCACACACACACATACCCACACACAGCCATATACATACACCCACTTCTACCCCCAGACACACACATATCAACACCCACACATACAGTCACATTTATATACCCACGCCCACATATACCTACACCCTCCCAAACATACATATACCCCTCCCACATATCTATACCAACATACCCACACATACACCCACACTCAGCCCCCCACACACACATCCTCCCAAACATACATATACCCATAAACACATACATACATTAACATACCCACATATATATACACACACACCCACACATACACACATACCCCATACATATACACCTCACACAAACACCAAAACACATACCCCACACACATCTACACACACAGACCCACACACACAATATACCTATACACACACACCCATATACACACAAACACACATAAAACCACACACACACACAAATACACCCACACATCCCTACACTACCAACTCCATGCCTGTACATCCCCCACAAGATGTCAACTCAGTCTTCAAACAAGCACACATGCTGAGGAAGTGGGAAGAGGTGAGGTTTCTAGAGGCTGGGAACATCTGTGTCCTGAAGCACGAGAGGCAGGCACCTAGCTGTCCATTGTACTGTAAGGTCCTGAGACCCCCTAGAATGAGCACATCTCTTGGCCAGGCAGCTTGGTCCACCTTTTGTGAGAGAACATTGTTACCAGTCACGGGCTGTGAGAGCTTAACAAAGCTCTGTGCCCTCCTGAGATTCTTATGTGTAAATAGTAACATCACCACACACCTATGTCTTCTGTGAGGACTGTAAGAGATCACACATGGAAAGCTTCTAGCACAATACCAGACACACACCAGTGTCCTAATAAATACCAGTTTCCCCATCACCTGGTGTCAACACATAGGTCTAAAAGAACAAAATCTCCTATGAGTCATCACTGTCTTCCTCCTCTTCTTCCTGCTCAGGAAGCTCTCACACTACAGGCCAAATCAGTAAGATGAGTTACGCAGCGTCAAGCTGGCCAGGGTTCTGCACCTGTTCCATCCCATGCTAGTCACTGAGCCTTAAACAGATGGCACAACCCCTCTGCGCCTCATTTTCCTCATCTGAGGAACAGAAATAAGAGCATTTTGCTGGGCCAGGCACGGTGGCTCATGCCTGTTATCCTAGCACTCTGGGAGGCTGAGGCCAGAGAATCCCTTGAGCTCAAGAGTTTGAGGTCAGCTTGAGCAAGAGTGAGACCCTGGCTCCTATGTGTATAGGTATACTGTGTGTGTGGGTCTGTGTGTGTAGCGTGTGTGTGGGGGGGGTGTTTTGGTGTTTGTGTAAGGTGTATATGTGTGGGGTATGTGTGTATTTTCTATTTTCTGTTAAAAATAGAAAAACTTAGTGGGACATTATGGTGGGCACCTGTAGTCTTAGCTACATGGAAGGCTGAGGCAGAAGGATCACTTAAGCCCAGGAGTTTGACGTTGCTGTGAGCTGATGATGATGCCACAGCACTCTATCTTGGGTGACAGAGACTCTGTCTCAAAAAATAAAGTGTGTTGCTGGGCCTTGCTGGTGCAACAGGCCCTCTACCATTGCATCAGCCTTCTACCCAGTTCCTACCTCTATTATCTCTCTGCTCCAATCCCATAACATCCCTATTTCCCAATGCATGATGATTCCCTATAAAAGTCTTCAGCCTGTGTGTCCCATGATGTGGAAGTTGCTGTGGCCCATTGCTTTCCACCAGGCCCTCATGCGCTGTCAACCTACTCTCCTGTCCTCTGCACACACCTCATTTATTTCTGCTCTGGGGCTTTCTACACTGCTCCAGCTACAGCAGCTGGACTTGGAAACCCTCCATCATCCACTGTATTCACCAGACCTTGTACCAATGCCTACCACTTTCTCTGGGCTTTGAACCACTTCTTGCAAGGAAAAATATTCAATTCTCAACAAGCTGTGAAAAACACCTTTCACAATTTCATTGCTACTAGTTCTGCAAGCTTCTTTGCTGCTGGCAGACACAAGCTACCATTAAGATAGCAAAACCATGTTGAGAGAGTGATTTGATT